AATTTCATTCATTAGTGCTCCATATAAATACATACTATGATGCTAAAAATAAACATAACTATCTCCACATAATTAGCTACTCAACTAACCCATAAGAATAGCAACTTAGACTTGACTACAACCAAAAGAGGAATATCAACAACTTCCTAAAAACTAGTTCTTTGACCAAACTAATTCAAAACTAACATTCAAACTTTGTATTTGTAGCTTTGAGTTAACTAACAATGTCCATACTCATATAGATAAAAAGAAATAGTCAACTGCAGTTTACTTACAAGAATAGGATCAAAGAAGCAGCTGCCACCTTGTATCTTGCTTGAAGCTTGAGCCACCATGTGCACATTTTATTTGTAAATTGGACACATCTTGTTCACCAAGTAAGACTCCCACGAACTAGCATTGGTACCATTCCTTGACAATTCTTTCACCAAGCTGTATGGACATGCATCACATCTGTCAGAACATATTTATTTACAGTTAATGAAATGTAAGCAATCCAGCTTTGACGTTAAACTTTTCCAAGCAAAAACCAATTGAGGAAGAAAACTGATAAAACCATATTCTTGAAAGAGGAAGAGAAAACTTGAAACCACAACCATTAAAATATTAAATAATTTTGATAAGAGACTCAACATTTAAATGCTTTTTTAACTATGAAAAACCACTATTTCATTGAAAGAATACAAACAAGCAATTAAAAAGAATCACTACAGAGAGGAGCCTGCACAAAGACATCCAAAACTAGATGCTACAGAAAGGCTCTGATTGTTAATAGACAAAAGGGTAATTACAAAATCATGTTGCTTAGTCTCTAATGGTATAACTCTTACACAAGAGGTGCAGAATCTGAGTTTAATGCTTGGAAAACCTCTATGAAAGTTTTGCAACTATTAATTCTTCTCGAATTACATCTTGAAGGTTTCCAATTCTTAGTGCACAATATAGTCTTGTTCTGCAACTATGATTTCTTCTTGAATCAAAGGTTTTGAATCTTAGTACACAATATGAATGTAAGACTTTGATTCTGTACATCTTGAAAGATTCCTCTCGTGGTACAAAATCCATTGTAAGTTGTACTAGAAAATCAAATACCATAACCAGTGTAGGTAGACCTCTGCAAGAACTAAAAGCATAGACACTTATAAAAAATATTAAATATACCACAGATACCACTGTACTGTAAAACTGAAGGGTATATTGAAATCATACACAATCTTGTGATTTTGCGGTAAAAAACCAAAAGGCCAGAGACATGGCTAAAATTCAAGAATACCAACAAACGGTTTAACTAAACTTTCTAGTGAAAATACAGGATTAATTACTTTGTAAAATCACCTAACAAAGGTTCAGTAAGCATTCACTTGTCTAGTTAGTGTAGCATCACTCTTCATCCATACACACACGCACGAAAACTCCATTTAAATCGTTCGTTCTTTGACACTTAATCCATCCTACAGCTACAAAATGAAACTATCGGATACGGAAATTAACTCACAAACTACAACCTTAAAGAAACGGAGTATATAAACAACCGACTGCCACTGTTGTCCTGACGCTGAATTCAGTGACAATTCAAGTGAAGTTTCATGCGAAGTAAATAGAAGCAACTAAACATATCGACATAAACACAGAGATTAAGCAACTTCACCTGATCATTCTGATTAGCAACCTTCATAAATCATACATCACTGGTACTGCCTCCTGCCAGCCTCGAGCTTGCATGCTAGAAATAATTTTCTACATTTTCCCGGCAACCAAACAGCCAGGAGAAAATTGTGGCGTACGGAACCATGGCTTCAATAAATACGGAGCAATGTCTTGATTCAGGTGCTATATGAGTGGGCTTACCAATATTTAGGGCCCAATTTTATGCCCCCGTGGCCCGTTTTTAGGCCCAACTATGATCGTTCGCGAGAAAAATTCGTAGCAGATAACAAAGGATAAAAATTATAACATAAAATAAAATATCATGTCTATTGGTCATTACTACAATAATCCAACTAATATCTAAGTTAATTAATAATTTATGTAAAGTAGACTATTGCACAAAAATTGTTTTTTTTTGTAATGAGGATTGTAATTATTAAATCAATGTATTGATTTGTTAATTTTAATGCTAGATTCATAATTATTTTGATTAGAAGGAAAAAAAAAACTGAACTTGTTATCAACGGAGCCCCAACTATTGTTGCTACCGAATGGGAAAATCAAGTTTCCTCCAGAGATTATGCTCAGGTAAGGTTTTTGATGTCGATGTGGTGTAAATGTCAAAAGTATCCATCAGATGAAATGTCTTTGATAAAATATTAGAACATGGAACATCCCTGTGTTTCCTTCAGAAAAACTAAAAATAAAAAAGGTTTCTTGTGTTATTTATTATACTCGTAATTATTGAAAGGGATTGGTTTGCTACTACAACTTCAATCACGGAGTTGGATGTTGAAAGTCTGATGGGCGGCATCTTCCGCCACCCTAATACTAACAGAAATGGAGGAATTGGTTCCTGGGTGTTGCACTGTGACATCGTAATCTCCATGGAAGAGCGAAGCATCGACAAGACCTCCACCGTCGGCTGTAATTTCAAGTCCGGTTGATTTCCATTCCGCCAAAAGCTTATCGACGACATCTCCCGCTGCGGTGTTCTTGAAGTTGGTATCCACAAGCGGCAGAGTAGTGAAACCGGCCGATTCCGGGCCTGCAAATGTGATTATCCCCTTCACTGCAGGATGTGAGTATCCTTCTCTTAGAACTTCTTCGTAGTATTGTGCCTGCCAGTAGAAAATGCATAGTTTTTAGAGTCATGGCTATAAGGTGTTTGATGAAATGTCTGAATGGAAATGCATTGTACCTGATTTGGGCTTTGGCGATAAAATATTTCTGTGATCCATATGGGATACCCTGTTGAGCCTAGAAGGTCCAAAGCAGATCTCATGTAAGCCAGGTTTGGTGCGGCAGGCCCGAAGTTGCCCTGCAAGCCGATTCCTGCTGGGATGTTTTCGTTCCCGGGATACGATAGGATTTCGAAGAGTTTCTTTCTGAAGTTAGCTGGGGTTGCTGTCTTTTCGTAGTCGTGTTCCATGGTGTTGTATTCATTCATGAAAAGAATTGTGTTCTTATCAAGTTCGTGCGTTGTCTTGAAGTACTCTGCAGTGGCATTTTCACCAAGTTTTTCCTCGAAGAATCTGAAGTGCACGTTTTCGTTCATGACATCCCAATGGATGAATTTTCCTGAATATCTTCTAACCATGGAGTTGATTCTTCTTTCGGCTGCTTTCTTAAAATCTTCAGGGGAGAGTGACTTGACCCATTGTGGCTGAAACTTGGCTTTTGCCCAGAAAATGTTGTGTCCTCTTACTGAAATATTATGTTGTTGGGCAAACTCAAGCATGGCATCAGGGATAGTGTAGTTCTCTTGGCCTGGTACTATCTCAGTGCTATACCACTTGAGTTCATTGGTGAAAGTAGCATAAGAAAATCTTGATGCAAACCACTGTTGGTATTCTTTGCTTTGGAGGATGTGGTAGTTCATTCCAGCTCCAAATGGGAAGGATGGTTTTTTTTGCTTGATAAGGACTTTTGCACCTGCTAGTTTACTGTTGTCTGCCTGAGTTATTTGCAGCCTCACCTTGCTTTTCCTCACCTACAAAACTTGATTCCATCATTCCAAAAATATGCGTTGATAATGGGACAAGAGTCTTGCATTGGTTGGAGATGAGGATGATACTGGGTTTATAAGTAAATGAAAGGTATGACTATTTGGAGAAAGATTCGATGGTCTTTTATACGAGAGAAGGATCCTTAAGAGTGTAACGAAGATCCCACATGAATTTAAAACGAGGAAAATCACGAGTTTATAAGCTCAACATATCCATTTTGTGACATGTGCAAAGCCGTTGAGATGAATCTATGTGGAGGATCGAAATAGATGAAATCATATCGAGGTAGAAGGTTGAAAAAATGAACTAAGCTCATTATCCTAACAACATTTATCCTTGTACTAATCATATGCTTTTTCTTTTGCTTTATATATATTACCTTGTTAATGCTTTCTTCTTCGTGGGCTCGCCATTGCTCCTTTGTAAATGGTTGTAATGAGACGTTATCAACCCAAATTTCTGCTGCTATATTTGTACTCTTATAGGAACAAAACCAAAAGAAACCAGTTACATTTAATACATTGAATAGTGAAACAACTGCAAATGGTGCTTGAATTCAAAAGAATGAAAAAGATTTGCTCATATGTACAACCATGTAAACAAGTTAGTAAAAGCAAGAGTTATTCACCTCAAAGAAAACCTCAGCATGGCCTGTAAAATTAGAGACAATACCACCTTTGAGCAAACTCCAGCAGCCCTGCTTGGCTATGGTTTCACCACAATGAAGAATCTCACCCGTTTTCTTATTTCTGAATAGAACAGCCACAGTTGCATTTCCTTCATTTACTTGAACCCAAGCTAGAGATTTTCAAACATTTTGCCAATTAGATCGTTATATGATGAAGAGTCTTAGATTCAACCATTATAGTAAATTTAACATTTTCAATATATTCTCAACCATCTCCACTCATGGCTCGAATATTCGTAGGAGCTCACCATTAAGTAAAAGAAAACAGGTGTAAAAGAGAGATCATGACATAAATTCTAATCACGATATTCTCGATGATGAAAAACGAGAGAGAGAAGGGAAACAGGTGATGTATACCGGAAAAACTATAGAGTTTTCCATGTTGGAGGTGGACCAACTGATAGAAAGTATCCGTTGGTTGAGTCCTGTTGTAAGCTACAATGAAGGTGTTGATGTTGTTTCCTTGTTTCAGCAGCCCTTGCTTGATTTCTCCTCCTCCAAACACTTTCCATCCTTCAGTTCCATACTTGAATTCTGGATTCACTATCATCCCTCCTCCATATTGAACCCTCCCTGGCTCCCCCAAGCACTGTTTCAATTCATACAATAATATTATTTCTCTAAGATTTCATTTGATATATAGTTTCGTTTTGGTTGAAAAAAAGTAACCCTAATTCATCTAAAAACACCGAGTCAATATAATTGTCATCTTAAACTTTCGACTTCTATTGAGCCCATAATAGCTACTGAAATTATTAACTTAAACTTGGCAAAAAGTGAATTATATTTTTCCATTTTTGTAAAGGTTTATTTGGTATAATGCTACACATGCAAAACTACTTTAGATCCCAACTTTTAAAGCTATTACTTCTTAGTTCTTATGATCTAGTTAAAATTTTGAAAACAACTATAAGAATGTATTATAAAATAAAGAAAATATATGGCTAGTGAAAAGAAATACCATATTTTTGTTCATGTTCGTAAACATAAAACTCTTATCAAGGCAAATGTTTAATAATCACACAGTTAGAAAAGGAAATAGCGAGTTATCTTAAGAAAAAAATACCATAACAAGTTGTATAAAAAAATTTAGTCCTAAGTTATACTAGCCTCAGTTGTCGCATAATAATCATAGGATGTAGCTTGAATGGTAATGGACTTTCCTGCATTGTTTACGAGACAACTTTGTTAGTCTTATTTTTGTGTAATAATAGACAGAGCAGCGAAACCAAGAGCTGAGAGAGACCTGAAAATAACAAAATGAAGGGAAGCAAAAGAATGCTGAAAGGTCTGGAAATGTTCATCTCTTTGAGAAATCAAAGAGAAGAAAAAAAATGAGAACTAATAATAAGGCTTGTTTTAGTCACTGGAAATGACCAATTCCTAAGTTATATACAACAAATCTTGACTCACTTTTTTGGATATTATCAACATTTTATGGGAAGTAGTTTACTTTTTAGGAAACATTTGTCTTTTCTTGATCACATTTTTCAGAACTTTTGTAAAGGTTACCATTTAAAGTTTCTCTCAATTTATCACCTCTTGATTTCTTACTTGAATAAATATATATTGTTTATATTGTTCTATCAGCGTAATTCATCGAGAAGTCTTGAATTATATGAAAATATTTTCGGTGCAATTTTTAACAAATATAGTTCCTTACGGTATATTGATGGTGTGCTATTGAAATATTTCAACTAATCAAAGATCAAACCCATTTTGAGTTGGAGAGTTTTTCTTCCACCTTAATGGCTGAGTGACATTTGTTAAGAAAAGGTGGAAGAAAATAAAATGAGATTAAAAGCATTAAGCACGTATAAATACATGAATAGATTAAGGGAAAACTAATTCATCTAATTCATCTATAGGTAGATGTTACATTAGTCATTGACAAGGACAAAAACTCTATAAATATTATAAACGAGATCTCTACCTTGAAATTTGCACTTAAAGATTTAGAACTCTTGTTCTTCTTGAGAATTGAAGTTAACAGAAAAAGGACACAATCACCAACTTCAGCGTTTGCTAGCAAGCAAAAAAAGAGTCATGTGGTATTTAAAATGATCTCTTCTCATTGTATTTTCTAGATCTGACTGCTTAGATATTGTGGCTTACTCATATATGCTCATTGAGCTTGCAATTTGGATGATAGGAAGTCCTATAGCGGCCAACTCATTGTGTCTTTCCTTGGACAGTCTCTAATTCAATCGTCTTACCAACACGTGGTTACTAGATCAAGTACTGAATTTCATGAGTATAGGTCACTTGCTCACGCCCTTGCTGAAATTAGTTGGGTTCAAACTCTTCTTGGAGAAGTTAATGGTTGTAGCGGCCGAACTCCTATAATTTGGTGTGACAATGTCAGTGCATTGTCCTTAATAGCCAATCCAATATTCCATTCTCGGAGTAAACAAGTTGTGTTACATGTAGATTTTGTTAGAGACAAATTCTAGCTAAACCGGACGTGTATTATCTACTTACCGTTAGTAGAGATGGTTCTACCATGCAAAAGCAACTCATTTGAGTACACTCCCCATTTGGTCCAAATGGTATAATTCTTGCTTTGGGTGCATGAGATATTGATTCAAGAAACCTTCGAATTGAAACACTATTTATTATTTCTTTAAGATAAAGATTCAAGCATGAAAGATGGAGCTACCGGCTAGAATCCTACCTAGCTCACCCACCATGCATAATTTTGTCAAGATACTGATTTAAGATTGTAAAATTTTATTTGGTTCTTAAATTTTAAAATTGGTGGTGTTGGCTTTCAAATTTTGAAAATAATTCTTCAAACAAGTGGTTTGATAATGATTTTGTTTTCTATTTTCTTAATGGTAGATTATAAGTAAATCATATATTTTTAGAAATTTTTTATAAATTTAAAAATGGAAAAAAAAAATTCATGTGTTAATTTATTTTGCTCGTAATTATAAAATGGGATTGATTCAACGTCAATCACGCTGTTGGACATTGAAGGTCTGATGGGCGGCATCTTCCGCCACCCTAATACTAACAGAAATGGAGGAATTGGTTACAGGGTGTTGCACTGTGATATCGTAATCTCCATGGAAGAGCGAAGCATCGACTAAACCTCTATCGTCGGCTGTAATTTCAAGTCCGGTCGATTTCCATTCCGCCAGAAGCTTATCCACGACATCTCCCGCTGCGGTGTTCTTGAAGTTGGTATCCACAAGCGGCAGAGTAGTGAAACCGGCCGATTCCGGGCCTGCAAATGTGATTATCCCCTTCACTGCAGGATGTGAGTAAGCTTCTCTTAGAACTTCCTCATAGTAATGTGCCTGCCAGAGGAGAATGCATAGTTTTTAGAGTTATGACTGTACGGTATTTGATGAAATGTCTGAACGGAAATGTATTGTACCTGATTTGGGCCTTTGTGATAAAATATTTCTGTGATCCATATGGGATACCCTGTTGAGCCTAGAAGGTCCAAAGCAGATCTCATGTAAGGCAGGTTTGGTGGGGCAGGGCCGAAGGTTCCCTGCAAGCCGATTCCTGCTGGAATTTTTTTGTTCCCGGGATACGATAGGATTTTGAGGAGTTTCTTTCTGAAGTTAGCTGGGGTTGCTGTCTTTTCGTAAACGTTTTCCATGGTGTTGTATTCATTCATGAAAAGAATTGTGTTCTTATCAAGTTTGTGTGTTCTCTTGAAGTACTTTGCAGTGGCATTTTCACCAAGTTTGTCCTCGAAGAATCTGAAGTGCACGTTTTCGTTCATGACGTCCCAATGGATAAACTTTCCGGAATATCTTTTAACCACGGAGTTGATTCTTCTTTTGGCTGCTTTCTTAAGATCTTTAGGGCTGAGTGACTTGACCCATTGTGGCTGATACTTCGGATCTGCCCAGAAAATGTTGTGTCCTCTGACTGAAATACCATATTGTTGGGCAAACTCAAGCATGGCATCAGGGATAGTGTAGTTCTCTTGGCCTTGTACTATCTCAGTGCTGTACCACTTGAGTGCATTGGTGAAAGTAGCATAAGAAAATCTTGATGCAAACCACTGTTGGTATTTTTTGCTCTCGAGGATGTGGTAGTTCATTCCAGCCCCAAATGGGAAGTGTGGTTTTTTCTGCTTGATAAGGACTTTTGCACCTGCTAGTTTACTGTTGTCTGCCTTAGTTATTTGCAGCCTCACCTTGCTTTTCCTCACCTACAAAACTTGATTCCATCATTCAAAATACATGCCGGAATAACGGGACCAGAGTTCCACATTGGTTAGATGAGGAGGATATTGGGTGTATAAGTAAACGTGAAAGATATGACTATTTGGAGAAGGATTCGATGATCTTTTATATGAGAGAAGGATTCTTAAGAGTGAAACCAAGATCCCACATCAATTTAAAATGAGGAAAATCATGAGTTTATAAGGTCAGTATCTCCATTTTGTGACATGTGTAAAGCCGTTGAGATAAATCTATTTGGAGAATTGAAAGATATGAAATCATATCTAGGTAGAAGGTTGAAAAAATGAACTAAGCCCATTATCCTAATAACATTTATCCTTGTACTAACCATATGCTTTTTCTTTTGCTTTATATATATTACCTTGTTAATGCTTTCTTCTTGGTGGGCTCGCCATTGCCCCTTTGTAAATGGTTGTAATGAGATGTTATCAACCCAAATTTCTGCTGCTATATTTGTACTCTACATAAACAAAATCGAAAGAAACTAGCTAGTACCATTTAATACATCAAATTGTGATACAACTTAGAATGGAGTATGAATTCAAAAGAAAAATGAGGATGATTTGCTCGTATTTACGACCATGTAATCTACTATGTCGAAACAGGTTAGTAAAAACAAGAGGGTTATTCACCTCAAAGAAAACCTCAGCATTGCCTGTAAAATTAGAGACTACACCACCTTTGAGCAAACTCCAGCAGCCGTGCTTAGCTATGGTTTCACCACCATGAAGAATCTCACTCCCTTTCTTATTTCTGAATAGAACAGCCACAGGTGCATCTCCTTCACTTACTTGAACCCAAGCTAGAGATTTTCAAACATTTTGCCAATTAGTAAATGATAAATATGTTAATTGGAGAGAGGAAATCTGTGCTTAGTTACATAAAATAAAGAGAGACTAGTAAAAGAGAGATCGTGAGAATAAAATTTAATCATGATATTATCGATGATGAAAAACGAGAGAGAGAAGGAAAACAGGTGATGTGTACCAGAGAAACTATAGAGTTTTCCACGTTGGAGGTGGACCAACTGATGGAAAGTATCCGTTGGTCGAGTCCTTTTGTGAGCTACAATGAAGGTGTTGATGTTGTTTCCTTGTTTCAACAGCCCTTGCTTGATTTCTCCTCCTCCAAACACTTTCCATCCTTCAGTTCCATACTTGAATTCTGGATTCACTATCATCCCTCCTCCATGTTGAACTCTCCCTGGCTCCCCCAAGCACTGTTTCAATTCATACAATAATATCATCTCTCTAAGATTCATTTGATATATAGTTTCCTTTTCGTTGAAAAAAATTAACGCTTCATCCAAAAATACCGAGTCAATATAATTGTCATCTTAAACTTTCCACTTCATCTATTGAACCCAAGAGTAACTAGTTAAATTATTAACTTAAAATTGACAAGTGAGAATAAAAAGAATTTCCTTTTTTAAAAGTTAGTTATTTGGTATAATTCTATACCTGAAAACTATTTTAGATCTCAACTTTGGATGCTATTGCTTTTTAGTTTTTAATATTAGTTAGGATCATAGTTAAAAATAAATAAATAAATAACACCGTGTTTTATTTTGTTCATGTGCATAAACATAAAACTCTTATGAAGCAAACATTTAATCACAGAGTTCGGAAATGAAATAACGCTTTATCGTAAGAACAAAATACCATAACAAATTGTATAAAAACTTTAGCCTTAAGTTATATACTTGCCTCAGTTGTTGCATAATAATCATAGGAGAAAGCTTGGATTGTAATGGACTTCCCTGCATTGTTTACAACACAACTTTATGTTAGTTTTATTTTTGTATAACAGTATAGAGAGTGAAAGAGAGAGACCTGAAAATAACACAATGAAGGAAAGCAAGAGAATGCTGAAAGCTCTGAAAATGTTCATCTCTTTGAGAAATCAAAGAGAAGAAAAAATGAGAAGTAACAATAATGCTTTGTTTTTGTCACTGTAAATTAAATGACCAATTCCTTTGTTATATACAACAAAACCATGACTCACTTTTTGGATATTATCAAAATTTTATAGGAAGTAGTTTACATTTTTGGAAAACATTCTCACAACTTTTTGTTAAGGTTACCTTTAAAGTTTCTCTCAATTTATCTCCTCATTATTTCTTAACTTGGATAAATATACCGTAATCTATCGGGAAGTCTTGAATTATATGGAAATATTTTCAGTGTAATTTTTAAYAAATATAGTTCATTTTCAACTATCTGTTCCGAAATTTCTAATCTCGTTAGTGAGGAGTTAAATGTGTTGAAGTTGATAGAAAAAAAAAAAAAGAAGTTTGTCTATTGATCTATTATTCATAATGTTTTGAATTGCACCAAGATATGCATGCGAGAATCTTTTATACCCACCATATGGGAAAAAATCATTCTATATAAAGCACTATAGGCTAATCTTTTTCTCATGCGGAGTACTTTTTTCTTTTTCATTTTATTTTCTTACATAATTAAAATAAAAATACGAACTTAGAAATGAGGAATTTTGTTAATCTTGAGGTAATTAATAAAGTGCAGATGGGAACTATTTGGAATTAGTTTTATCATAAAAATTATTAACTATTTTTTTTTAACATAAGATCTCTCTTAATTGATTTTAATTATCCTCTCCCTAATTTCTTGCTTTTTTTAAAAAATTAATTATAGCCTCAATCACAAAATATGTTAAAATAGAAAAATCTCATAGCTTAACAGAAATGCTATTTCCTACCATAGCCCTTCTTAATATGGATTGAGAATTTATACAAAAACCATAACTCCACAACTAAGCATACCATATAAAAATGAAAAGGAAGAAAAATAGTGGATTTATTTATGTGTTGTCTGGATAACATTCTCACTATCCATTTTATATTTTCTATTTTTTTAAAACTTATATATATGTATATATATATATCTTCAATTGTTATTTATTTCCCATTTCTTGATTTTAAAATTTCCAACATTGTGTATGAAGTATCTGATTTTTCTTTTGGGTTTCTAATTTTTCAAAACATAAATAAGCATTGTTTTTAATTCTTTTACGCATTAAAATGTGTAATAAATATTACAAACTAAATACAACAGAACAAATCTGAAAAGAAATTGATTTTCGAGTAAATTTATGATATTCTAAATTTAAAATTTAAGAGAGGAAGAAAATGAGAAATAATTTCTAGATGCATTTCTAAAAATTTTTTCTACTTTGTTTTTTCGGAAAACAAGAAACAAAAACTATATTTAATTTGTGACATGGTAAAGTCATTAAGAGGGATGAAAAAGGAAAAAAGAATTTATTAGGTACTCTTAACGATGATTTTATTGCTATAAATAATTCTAATTCTCTTGGTGAGTCTCACACCATTTTTAATTTGACGATGACGTGATAGGACGGGAACGAAATGAGTATCCATATTTCTGTAGTACCTGAAATTTCATCGCATCATCCGAATGATTTAGAGTGGGGTTGGTTATATTGGCAACGGGGAGAGTGACATGCATTAGCATTATAAGATTGGTGACTTCCAACTAAGGGCACTATCCCCAACCTCTACTCAAAACCAAACTCAATAACTCATTTTAGATGGAAAAGTTAATCCAAGGTTGAGACTTGAGAGTGAGTGGTGAAGGAATCACTTTTATTTCCAATTCTTTTTGGTCCTCTTTTATTTGTTTCTTCACAAATTTATTTCAATGGGTGATGTATATTATTACATGGGCATGACACATAAATGCATTTAAATAATTATAGATATGAATGTCTTGAAGAATAAGAATGAATTTAGGATGCTAATCTGAACATAGCTCAATTAGCTAAGACACAAGTGGTAGGTTCGAATTCTTACTCCCACATGTTTGTTACTCAAAAAAAAAAAAGTGAGAGAGAGAGAGATCGCCCTTCCCAGATACAATGCTGAATTTAACTTTAAATAAATCGTTGAATTCATAATGTAGATTAATAGAGGTAATATTAAATGAAGCAACTATTTAACATCGTATAAATAAGAACAATTTAATTTGTGGTGATCTTATTTTTGTGGGTTTGAGAGTGCTTTCAGTTATTTAAGCATAAGTATTTTTTTTTAGTATAACATGTAGAGTGGAGATCGAACTCACAACCTTTTAGTTAGAGATATATGTCAATTATCACTGAAGATATATGTCAATTACCGGTAAGCTATGCTGGCTTTGGTACAAGTAATTCTAATCTTTAAAAGCACTTTACTGTCACATATGAAATATAATAAGGTCAATTTATGATGTCTCCGAAAAACTTAATCAAATACTTGATACTCATTTGTATTATAGAACATTCAACTCTATTCCAAACAACTCTACATTACACAGATTCAAGAAAGAAAGACAAATTAATAACAAATTAATCTATCATCACATACAGCCTTTTCAAACCCAAATGGATTTGCTCAAAGATAAAATGAAATTTTTTAGCCAAAACTTCAGTAGTTAAATGAAGCCTTCATATAGTTTGAGTTAAGCCTGCAGAAAGCCATTCTCCTCAAGGTAACTCATTACTTTCTCTGCCATTTCACATGGGGAACCTCCATTCAGTACTATCTGAAACCCAAACAGTTCAACAAAAATATATCATTATTTATTCTTAATCTTCATTCTCTAACTAAACCTCAGCATATGTTGCAAAACATTAGAAGCATTGATCTTTTGCAACTTAGTTTGAAAAAGGTGTTCCATTTTCCTCCAGAAACTGGAATTACCTCACAATTCAATGGTAGTTCGTATGGATCATCAATGCCGGTAAAGCCTGCAGAAACAGCAAGATTTTGCATAGTTAAAGCGCATTCGATAACAACTTCGAGCCAAAAGTTTAGAGACCAAAACAAGATTATATCTTATCAGTATTTGAATTTTGAGAATTGACGAGTTACAATAACCTTTGATCTTCCCAGCCCGTGCAAGCTTATACAGTCCTTTCGAATCTCTTGCTTCACAAACTTCAAGAGAAATATCCATGAACACCTACATATTTTCAGCACTTTTTGTCAGGTAGGGAGATAGAAGGCTGCTGAAATTCTATGGCATCCATAAACGAAGAACAACCTCAATAAAATATCCATCAGGCAAAATGGCACGGCAGGCATCTCGATCCCTTCGATATGGCGATATCAGACTGGCAATGCAGATAACTCCAGCATCTGCGAACAGTTTTGCAACCTCGCCTAATTTACAGGAAAGGTATAGTTAGAAATCATGAACATGAACAGCCCTATTCAAAGTGTTGTATCTGAACTGAACTACCAAAGCGAGACTTACCGATCCTCCTTATGTTCTCAGCACGATCTTCTGCTTTAAAACCGAGGTCGCGGTTCAAGCCATGCCTGACATTGTCCCCATCAAGAATATAAGCCAGCTTTCCCATTCTGTGTAAGCTCTGACTCAAGGCACAGGCCACAGAGCTCTTCCCTGCAAGTTAGCTAAGCAAACTTAGGAAAATTGGGTAGGATCCAAAAAGTCACTGACCCAACTCTAGGCTAGCAATTTCGCTATTTTGTTCACAAAATTCTGAACAAATGACCTAAGTACCCGAACTAACCCAACTCACTAATTTTATTCTAACAATTTCACCTTTTCTTGGGTCTATCATCTAACAAGGGTTGTTTGGGTGGAGATTTTTGGGTTGAGCAAATCTCCAACTTAACATTCGATTGGGTCCAAAAGATCCCCAACCCAACCCGTGAACACCTCTTACTCCAAAACTAATTTCGTCCGGATACAATCAAAACTCTAGGTTCTTTCAGTTACGATTATCATATATTCATATATATATAGCAACTTGATTATTAAGGTGTCGTTTGATAACCATTTCGTTTGATCAAGCTATAATGACAAACCTGAGCCACTAAGACCTGTAATCCATACAACACATCCTTTCTGTTTGAGAAGGCTTTGTCTTTCAAGCTTTCCAACTGAACAGTCATGCCACTTGATATTTGTAGAATTACCTACTGTGGACAACACCCCAAGATTTGGCCCTGATTGAAAAAAGGCATATCAGTAACCTGGAAACCTTCATCTAAAGAACAGAACTGATACCATGAAGAACACACATTATAAGCCAATTTCAACATGAAAATTATTTGAATCTTCTGCAACCAAATCATATACATCAACACTAAAAAGAAACATATCAAACCTATTTACACAGTCTTATAAAACCAATCAAAACAGACAGAACACCTACAATTTCAAGGATATGATTGACAGAGAAGATCACATCCAATTCCATACCTTATAATATACTAAGAATCTTAAGAACCAAAGCACAGGTCCATGAATCAAGAACAGATTAAAATAGACATCAGAATCGATGCAATACCAGAGTTCACTGCATGTCCATTTCCCAAGGTCGCATCGAATTCAGTCTCACAATCACACTCACGCTTGCCCAAACCATTCACAATCACCGCCCTCGAATCCTTATTCTCCACCTCAGCCCGCAAAATCACCCTCGACCCGAAGCTAATCACAGCCGGAAACCTCGCGGATCCAAACGCCGGCGCCGACAACGAATGCTGGTGGAGCGACGGCCGCACAAATCCCGGCAACGAATTTCCCCCAATCGCAACCATGTTTCACACACATCTCAAAAGGGAAACCCCATAAGCGAAAACATAAATAGGAGAACAATTCAGTGAGGAAATCAAGGGGAAACGGGACGCCATGATTGGTCGAATGGCGTCCAGTGGAGTGGAGAGGCTCTCCTGTAACTGTCCGCCATAATAATGACCGGTGGAGAAAACACGACCCCCTTTGGCGGCGACCCTCTTTGGAAATCTCTTCTTCTCTTTCTTCCCCGGAAATTTATGAGCTCCACAGGAAGAATGCGGTGCCGGAGCGTGTGGCGCGGCGAGCCGACCGGAGGAGGGAGGAGCAACCAACGACGTCGTTTCAAAGTCCGACGGGAGACGATTGCTGCAATAACGCAATAAATATGTGCGGATTGTCGTTTGGACGAGCCCGACACGTCGACGGAAATTATAAAAATATCGTCTGACCTGACTGACCTAAAAACTTTATTCATTTTTTTAATATTTAGGAATATACCGATTTGCTATTTAATTTAGATTTTTTTTCCTCCATATGGTCTGTGCTCTATCGCTTTCAATTAAAACTATAGGATTTTTTTAATGGCCAATTTGGATCCCACGTATCTTGTGAGTGCACATATAGCTTATTTTGTTACTCATTATAAAACTTTATTCGGACCAACCTTAAAAAATATATTTTATTTAAGCGAAGCATGGTAATTTAAACTTCTTTTTTCAAAAAAATAATAATAATAATAATAAAATTAAACTTCTAATATGAAATATATATATATATATATCTTAACTACTGCATTATATTCATGTTGGTAATGTTTGATATTATGATTTATAAATTATTAACAGATGGATAACATGACTTCGAATATGTATATTAACGTATTGATATTAGTATACATTGGAACCACGTAGATTTGTTGAAGGTAAGTATTGAGTAGGTTATGGATGGATATTAGGAGTAAAATAATAGAAAGATAAATTTTGTATTTTCTTAAAAAAAGTTTGTATATTAAAATAAATATTTTGAAATTTTATGGACAAAAATAAAAGAGGTCTAAAAGTTTGTGGCCAAGAAGAGATTTAAACATAAACATTAAATGTTTGCTTGGGAGTTAAAATTTTAAATGCTTTTAAAAGGGTAAATAAATACAAAATTGAATTTTTTTGTCTAATAGAACCATTACATCTCAAGTTTGTTTGTTAATAGGATCCGTAAACTGAAAAGAAAAGAAAAAGTCTAATAGGCGAGTGACCTATATTACCTAATATGTATTATGCTAAATTAGTAAACACATTGTTATATATAACTTCTAGTTTTCAAATTTATGCATTTATATCACCAACTAAATACACCCTAAACTATCGATTTCACTCTCCATGGAAAAAATGATTTTATTTTTGTAGACAGTTCACACCACCTTTGCCCTACGTAAAAAAAAAAAAAGAAACCTTTATAAGAGAAGGTTTCACCTTTGTCCCTTTGATGGAAGAAATTATAGGAGGAATACTATACTCTCTTTATTTATATTGTAATTTTAAAAATTAGGAAATGTTCTTCTCATTGATTTAATAATAATGGAAGCTAACATATATATACATATTACAATAACCAATTAATTGTACTAATAACAACGTAGTAACAGACTTAATATCTATCTTTAATAGACTCCAAGTCATTTCTAATACAATGTTGTTGGGAAGGTAGTAAATAAAAGGAGTACTCATATGCAAAAATTTATTAAAAATAATGTACAATTCTCAATTTTAGAAAAGTATTTATAGAAACAACGTTATAGTGTAAATAAGGTCTAGGATTCATACTCACTTATTCCAGAAATTTGCCACGTTGGAGTGTGTGACAACGTCCCAATTTTTCTTTATTTTTATATTATTTTATTATTTTTTGAGAAATAACGGCCAGATGTCTTGTAAAAACTCCCACGTGTTGAAAACTTGAAATAGCCAACACTTGTAAATCTCGTCTCTGTCATGGTTTTGACAATATGTCGCCTTATCTTATTTTATTCAGTCCGCCTATGTTTTTTTCGTATTAAATGATTATTTAGATTTACATAATATAAAATAGCTTTGATTTATTTTGCTTCCAATATTTTTAAAACGGGTTTTTGTACATTAATTTTTGTTGTAATATAATTTTTATAATTTCGAAATATTCATTAGCCAAATTGAGCATAGCTTAAGTGGTTAAGATATCTATCTCTGATAAGAGGTCGTGTGTTTGAATCTCACCCTCATTATATCAAACAAAAAAAATTTAGGTCAATTTCTCACCCCCTTTTTCTCTCTTCTTTGTATCAGTACTGTTATTTGATAATCTCATGCTAAAGTTGAGGGAAAAAAAATTTAGCAACTTTAATCCAATGTCTCAAACCTTCTTTAATTACATTCCATTGCAAAAATGGCTATGAACAAAAAACCTGCCGAAGCCTACATCTAAAATGATAAGGCAATATAATACCACTATATCATGTTACGTAGCTTCTTGACAATCATTTAAAACTGTGAAAAATAAAAATCAAACAAAAAATATATGTTCCTTCAAATTGTGGATAGATATTTGTGGAGATGAAGAAGAGAGAAAAAGAATGTGGAGATGAAGAAGAGAGAAAAAGAAGAGGTGAAAACATGTAGGGAGAGAGAAAAAATGGAGAAAAAAATCATCCAACTGATTAAAAAAATAAAATTAAAAGAGATTTTGGCGAAATTTTGACGAGATTATGAGTTTTAATAAAATAACTAAAATAACAATAACCAACACTTCTTCTTACTATAAGGCCTCCCAAGGGTAAGAAGCATAATACTCTAGATAAGGAGTGGAGTTTTTTTCTTATAATTTTAGCAAGACATTTTGCTCACTAAAATTTTTAAAATGTAGTTATAAATTTGTATTAAAATGTTTATATTATACATAAATTTTGTGTTAAAATTTTACTAATAAGAACTAAATTAGTCACTTTTTAAAATATAGGTAACAAAACAAAATGTTTTGAAAATAAAAAAAAATTAAGATAAACAAAATTTGAAAGCATATGAACTAAAATTAATGTTATGAAAGCATATGATAAAAAATGAACTAAAGCAAAAAAAAAAAAAGACCAAAATAGTATTTAAACCTATTAATAGATTAAAAGACGCATTGGTCCTTGTATTTTCAACTTTAAAAAATAAAGATTTAATTCCTGTACTTTAAAATTGGTTACAATTTTACCTTTACCCTTAAAAATTAACGAAAATTTAATGTGTGCTGCCAACTAAGATCTTTGTGGACAAATTAATTTAATTGAATTGCACATTTGGATAATTAATTTGTCCTCAGAGATCCTGGTTGGCAGCCACATCAATTTTCTATTAATTCTTAACCTAATTAAATTGTAATCAATTTCAAAATACAAGGACTAAACCGTTATTTTTGAAAATTCAAAGACTAAATCAATTTTCTATTAATTCTTAACCTAATTAAATTGTAATCAATTTCAAAATATAAGGACTAAATCGTTATTTTTGAAAATTCAATGACTAAATTAGTACTTTAATTAAACTTCAAAAGACTAAATATGTTTTTTAACCTAAGATTAAGTAGAAATGTTAATTCTATAAAAAAAATAATAATAAAAGTAAAAATGCTAATAAAAGATATATATATATATATATATATTTTGAAGGAAAACACAAAACACGATTACATCAGAAAATCCATGTATTCCGTAGTTAGTACATCCGAAGCTTCTGTCGGCCATTCCTCTAGCCAAATCGTATGTTCTTAATGCAGAGAAACTCTTCACGTAACATACAAGCTTCCTGAGTAAGAAGATTTTGCAAAATGAATTATAGATCCTGTTTCTTACAAGTCTTCAAACTCTCGATCTAACAGGTTAAAGACGTGCAAAGAATCCATTTTAACCTGAATCGGAGAAATCCCAGCATCCATCGCCAACCGCAGCCCTTCAAGCACAACCAACGCCTCGACTTCATCCACAGATGCGACATTTTGTCTCTCTTGCCATCACTTGACCTCAATGATTCCTAATGACAATACACAAACCAGAAGAATTGCATGATGAGAATGATGCATATGTATTAACTTTGAACACTCCCTCAGCTTAGGGTTACCAAATTGTGACATTTGTTTGTTAATAAAAGAGAAATGGTTAAAACTAAAATTGAAAGTTCACTAGAGTTATGATTGGTAAGGGTATGATTTGTCAAATAATAACAACATAAGCATGCTTAATTAACTTGTAATAAAACTCTTTTTAAAAATGACTAGAATTTGTCAAAGATAATATGAGTATAACTCAACCGCAACTTAAAAAAAAAATTAGTGAGGTTGAGTCTCACATTSTACTTGGAAAAAGAGAATTTCATCRAAACCCTTTGTTTCCTTTTTTTCAAACCATTGCTCCCCAATTATCCTCGAAATTACTTTTGCAAAAAAAAAAAGAAATTGCGAATTGAAAAAAGAAATTATTTCAAAAAACAAAAAACCCTTGAAGTTAAAAAATCTTCATACAGATACAGAGAACTTGGAAACACCATCTTCTCCCATTTTGCATTTCTTCGTCTCTCTCACTCGATTCGAACTCCCGCCATTAATGGAGTTCACTCAAACAATTTCCCGAATCCCCCAAAATTTCTCGCCAATTCCAAGATTCCTTAGTAAAATCCACGCCTCCTCCTCTTCCTCATCCAAATGCCCTAATTCCCAATTACCAGCCCCTTCAAAATCGCCAAAACCACTGAAATCCAGAGAAGATAACATACCGACGATGCGTGAGATTTTGGCGGCCGGCGCGGCCCAGAATCTGGACCTCCGGCTCCAAACCTTGGGGCCGTTCTTCAGAATCACGGCGAAAAGCACGGAATCGCAGCGGGAAATCGGGAAGGCGGAGGGATTGATAAGAGTGTGGTTTGGAGGGAGGATTCTGCATCTGGATTCGATCCGATTGAACAGAGAGAGCTTGGGAATGGAGAAATCGATCTTCGGACTCGGATTGTTCATCGGCGCTGTCGCGATCCGATATGGATTTGATTGTGGATGCAAAACGGCTGAGTTGTTGGCGATCAACGACTCGGATCTTTATCATTCTAAGGTTGTTTTGTCATCTCTTTCTTTTGGATAGAATTATTTTTTAGGTTGATTTTTTTTTGGATAAAAATAACTTTTTGGTACTTACATTTTTTTTTAAAATAAAGTAAATGAAGTGACCATTTTTTTTAATAATTCAAGGCATRGTCATTCTTCCATTGTACTCACGAGTCATGAACCATCCCATTCATCTTTTACTTATGTTTAGTAGGTTATATGTCAATTACCACTCAGTTATTTTCGCTTTGACTTCAATACTATATTTTAAGAGGTCGTACTTTCAATTTTATGACACATTTTAAAATCCACTTCCTTRTTAGACAGTRGACACAATCATAAATTTATTATACACTTGTTTAAGGTTTAGAGACATAGTAATACTTTTGATAGATGATGGATGAAACTTGTACGAAAATGAACATAAAATTAAATATAATGTCACGCTATGATTTTGTCGATAAATTTTAACACAGGTCACATGTTTGCAGCTGGTTAGATTCTACACAAGGATTGGGTTCAAGAGTATGTATGAAGTGAGTGGCTCAAAGATGGGAGATTTTGGGGACATGTTGGTGTGGGGAGGGGTTGGGACTAGAATGGATGCAGACATTGAAGAGCTTCTTCTTAAATGGTGCACTAGATTCAAATCCCCCATTATCTAACACACAAAATTCCCATCTCAACGTGCCTTTCCCTTTGCCTTCTATGTATATATTCTTTTGGAAATTCCGACCGTAAATGTATACATTTTGTGTCAGTATAAACATAGTTCAACAGTAATTAATATCTACTCATTTTTGAAGAGGTTCGAACTCCTATGCTCCTAATTTGATGTATTAAAAAAAATGTACACATTTTGTTAAATTGTAACTGACAGTATAAAGTAGTTATAGTTTACACTTCAAAGGAAAAGAAAGTGTTTAAAAGTGAGGTGTTTTGTAGTTATCTTATTTTGAATGGTTTATTTTTTTTAAGTTCAAACGATATGTGAGGATGAAGATTCAAATCTCCAACTTTTAGGTCGATAATATATACTTTAACCAATATAACTAATCTTACACTGACATTTTGAATGTCGGTTTATCTTCATTTATATAAAAAAAAAAATTTATTAAAAAATAAAATTTAGGTTAAATTACTATTTTGGTCATYGTATATTGAATTTTGATTCATTTTAGTTATGTACTTTCAAAAGATTTGTTTTGGTTCTTGTACTTTAAAAGATTGGTCATTTTATTTTATTTTATCACAATTTTAACATGACACTGTACTTATATATTTATTGAAATGTAATTAACCATGAATTTATATTAAAGGGTTTTAGTTATGTGTAGAATTGGTTTAAAATTTTTGYAAATATGGAYTAAAATATTCACTTCTTAAAAGATAAGAGGACCAAAATGAATATTTAACTTGAAAGTATAAGGASGAAAATAAATATTTTAAAAGTATAGGGACTAAAATGAACAAAAACTCAAAGTACATAGATCAAAAGTATAAATTTATTAAAGAAGAAGAAAAACAACAAACATAACCATGTATTTTCAAATGCTATCATAAAGTTTGAAAATTTTCAAAAAAATAATATAATTCGATTCATTTTTTTTAATGAAAATCAAAGACATGTATATATTGTCATCAAAATCAAAATGAAGACAAAATGTAATTAGTGTTATATTTAAAAAAAAACAAAAAAGGATGATATTTGAAAAAATATAAATTAGTTTTATGTTGTAGAGTGAAAATTTTGAGGCAATTTTATGTGCACCTAAGTATAGCTCGACTCTCCAATCTTATCTTAGAAGAAGAAAAGAAGGAAGAAAAATTATTTTTATTATTTTTTTTAAGGAAAAGAGAATTTACTATAAAAGATTAATAACTGGAATTAAATTAAGT